AATCAAAACAGCAGCAGTTCACAGGCCACAACAACTCCTAAGCCTCCTTCAAATTCGCATGTGTCAAGTAAAAACACTTCAAAGACACAGAGGTACAAGAATGTGGGATTTTATATAAATAAATCAACTGTTTAATATTGTTTCAGAACCGCGAGTGTCCCAGATTTCAGAAATATATGGCTCTTCTCCACCCATTCCTCTTTCCCAGAACTAAAGTAATTGGGCATAGCTGCAGATCTGCAGGTTATTAAAAGCCTGTGAAAAGAATTCACAAAATGTCACCCAAGTAACAGCACCATCCTGCCACTATTTTAATCGTTTAGTGTGCTCTTTAAGCAATAATACATGTCATTATCTTCACACATTTAATTGCACAATGGAACAGATTCTCATGATTGGTGCCAAATCATCCAAACGGACAGAATTTCCACATGAATCTCCCAGCTAAACAGGACGGGCAGCTTGAGCAACAGGTCGGCAGAGACTGATCACAGTAGATTCGTAACTGCAGCTAAACACCAATTTTCCCACTACGCAGCATCAACAGCATCGTGTCTGAACCTGCAGAGGTGAGGGCTGATTGCTGGAAAAGCCTGGAGCACAAATGAGCCTCCTACACACCTCCACAAATTCACACCTCCACAGACCCAAGCCATTTCAATTTTCTCCACAAGCGCTGGACGCATTGCTGCTAGCAGCGTGTGTATGTGTGCGTGGGAGGCTTGTTGTGTTTGCGCTTGCCGCATGTGTAAGCGTACCTTCCTAAAAAGGGGGGGGGAAACAAAGTTCACGAGGGCACTGCAGAGTGGCTGTTCAGTACCATCCGCTCAACCAGCACAAACAAACAAACACGAAAACAAGAGTTGTGTGCAGCAGGAAGCCACTCATCTCCCGCCCGAACCAACACATTTCACACTCTGTTACAAGGAGGTTGCCAACTGTTACCTGGCAACAGCCAAAGCATGCAGAAACAAAACATAACGTGTCCACCAAATAAAAAAAGTATAGATATATTTATTTCATCTACACTGGTGTCAAATTAGCAGTGGAGCGCTACATTTCTAAAAAGACAAAAAAAAAGATTATAGGAGCGACACGAGGCTTCACATTTCCTCACAGTAACCCTATTGTTTTGTCCTCAACCTTTTCCACCTCATTTCCCCTGGGGGGTGGGGTCTGGCCTCATACTTGAGGCTTGTGAGTCAGAGTGCAGCAGAAAGGGTGAGAACCACATCTTACAGCACAGCCACACAGTGTAATCAGTGCTTCTAATGATCTAATTGATATTTAGTAGGACAAATTGTATTCATTAGACAAAGCAGATCATATGCAAAACACAGAAGGAGGGACTATTACAAACGAATGATGACGAAGGGAGGATATCATCACAGTTAAAAGCTAAATCCTCGGTGCTCTCACTTTCAAAATACCTACCACCTCTACACAAGAGGCCAGACTACAGGATCATCCATGCTTTGAATATACATACTGGCAAAAATCCAAACATGCTGGTTACATTATTTATTTGTTTAACATGCATGAAGGTGCTAACATGGAATTTTGGCCAGAGCTTGAGAGAAAAGTTCAACCTCACAGGGACTTCTTTGAGTTTCACTCACATTAAAAGGACTAAGATACCTACTGGTCTAAAATATTTAAAACTTTGTCTGATATTTAAAAAAAAAAAAACAGCTCCCCCCAGACCCAGTAATGGCACTTTTTGGTGTAGCTACAGTTAAATACTTAAATAATAAACAAATTCGTGCTTTGAGTTTTATAACATTGCTTGCAAGAAGCCTTATACTTCTAAATTGGAAAAATAAAGCCCCCCCAACTCATTCTGCTTTGTTAAGAGACAGTTGGAGAAAATTTTATTTACATTGAGAGATAATGTTAAACAGTTTTACCTAATTTGGCAACCCTTTATAGATTACTTTAATAAGTAAAACTGGGATGGATGGCCTCCTCCCATATCTGCTCCAAGATTATACACATTGGTCTGGGCAGAGGAAGGAAGGGAAGGGGAAAAAAACTATGTCACTGTAAATGAGATACATACTTTGTTGCCTGATTTGAGATATGAGTTGACCCTTTTTTTATTCAAAACATTTCATTTGTTCTACAGACAGGGACAATTAACCCCAATATTTAGCTTCATCATTAGGATTTTTAGGCGTGATATCTGTTTGTAGACTTATATAATTGTATGTAATTATACATGTATATTGTATATTGAGGTAGGATCAAATGAGTTTACCTTTAAGTCTGTTTGTACC